TAGAGCATTGATATGATAAAATTATTTAAATTTGTCATTGCTGGAATAATTATATTTCTATTGTTTAATTCCTCCAGTGATTTGATTTTATTATAATTTCTAGCCGTACACTAAAGCACCTGGGACTGCATAATAATTTGGAACGCTTCCTCATAAAGAACACTTTTTCATTCCAATCATTGGGGCCATAAACATTTGTAATACACCAGGCACTCGAAGACTCATGGGGGAAAAAAGCACGGAGACAACAAAAAGAAATATAAAAAGAAGTTCCATGTATCCCATACAATCGGGAGACCACCCAACCTGTCATTAGAGGGAGAGAAGAGAAAATCCAAAGGGCATCTGCCTCAAATAGAACAGATCAAGGCGACATCAGGGGTTGCTAGTTTAGTTTCTTGAAGGAGCAAAATTTATGGCTTATGGGGAAACGATAGCCGCCTCAACATCATTCTTTTCTTTTGATCACCTAGCCCCCCTAAGTTCGAAGAGAAGATCTTCATTTTGGCTTGAAGCCTTTCCCACCCCTGGTGACTCCTCAGGAGCCTTCAGTGAGCTGTTCAAAAGGGAGCTCAACGGCCATCTGCTCAGGTTCTTTCTGAATGTTCGACCTCCTTCTTCTTCTCCTTGGAGCCTCATTCCAGGCTATCTCCCCTCTGGCAATAGCCTCTTCAATAACCTTCACTGAGCCATCAAACTTGACCGTCACACCCTTTACCATCTCCTCAACAACTTCTTTTTCCCTTCCTTGTCTGACTCCCAGTTTCTGATGTGAGGAGAGAGTTCCTCAGAAGAGGATGAATCAAACGATTCTGTGACTAGAATCGGAGGGGCATAGGGACATTCAGCAATGAATAAAGTCCTGGGCATATGCTCTGGCTTGGCCGCCATGGATGGGAGTTTAGCCAAGGTTCCCTCATTAGAAGTTGAAATCCCATTCAACAAAGTTCATTTTGGCAGCATTATCGGACAGGTTTTCCAGGGATGCAGGATTTTGAATTGAATAGGAAACTGCTTAAGGTCTGTCAAAGTGACTCTCTGGGTAGTCATCCGGACCGACTTGGGACCACGAGAAGGTTTTGGAGAAGTACCAAAGCAAAGAGTAAGAGAGGAAAAACCAGAGAAAAGTATTGTTGTGTGGTCAATTTTATCCCCTATATATAGAAAGGGATTTAGGCTGAAAAGGTACTATTGTAAGGGAAGGAGACGTACCTCTTCGAAGAGGCTTCTGTCGATTGGCCTGCCCAGCAACCTCAATCGTTGTTGTAGGATTCGACGGCTGCGATGAAGCTAGGTTGGAGATTTTAGAAGGACAGAATTTTCTTTGTATTCAAAGAAATATTTCACTCCATCGTGTCTGTCCGTTTCACCCCCTCTAGAGATCATTTTTGGACCGCCGGCTGCCTTTTCACTATCATCGCTTGACGTACGGCTCCATCAAGGGCTCTGGATTCGAAGAGTACGATCCTTTTCCCGCTATAGCTCTCATCTCTAAAGGCAGTTCCATACAGTAATCTTGAGCCATTGGATGGGTAATGTGTCTATATTACAGATGATCTACTATGTTGGGATTCTTGCATGTCAACATTTAAAAGGGCCCTCATTCAGTGACCCTGCTTGGTGTGGCTCAAGATCCCATATGTATCCCTACTTTTCATACAGATGGTGGCTTCCTTGGAGGACTCCCCAACCTCCTGCAATCGACGGCTGCCACTGTCAAAAGGTACTGGCCTACGTGGCTGTCTCTCAAGAGAACAACTGGCATGCGATGTTTAACCAGAGTCTTTCTTCATCCACACTTTTTTAACGACTCTTTTAATACTCCAAATGTTGTCGTTTGAAATGCTGCTAATTCTTTTTTCAGTAACCTCCCGCCATTGTTGATCATCATGGATAACTTCCTTTTCTGTTTCAGTCATCCACTCCCTATGACTGGTATTACACTTAACTTAAGAGGAAGACTTGCCTAAAGCTATGGTGGGAGTGGTTACAGTATCCTCCCTAGTGATGAAAAGTTTAAAGTAGTCGTTTCCAACCTTTAGAAGCATAGATTCCAGGATTTCTTGTTTGGGATATGCTGTGTTTTGGCTCTAAGGGTACCTAGAGCAGGACCAGCGGTAGTGAGCTAATCTATTTACTTCAGTTTTCTGCATTCCTCCACCACCCTTTCAAAAACTTATTCTGTCCAAGCATGAATATGGATGCCTTCTATTCTGAGCGAAACACAAGGTATCTGAATAATTGAGTGATTAGTCCTGGGAGACCACTATTGAAGTGTCATTAATACCGCATTCAGTCTCTAGAAACTCTGATTGGAGATTCGGATAGCATCTTCCTTCATATCAAAGATAATGAGTACTCTTCCTCCCGGGATGGTCATGAAAACAACCTTGCATCTCCAAACCTTAGTTGCCCAATCTTGGAACATGCTCCAATCTTCCAACTAGTGGGCATAAAGACCCAACCAGAGGATTTTCTAGTTTTGCTGACCAATGCAAGGTAGCTTCCGCTGGGATAGTAACCATCTTAACGTTATCCAAAACCGAGTGAGGCCCAGAATTCGGTATCTTCTTTCCCCTTATCCCAACAATCATATACCCTGAAGTCCAGGCACCACCTCCTTTGTTTCTATGGTCCGAGGCCAATGATCTTGGCAGCTCAGTCACTCCTCTTCTCACGGCGGATGATTGGTACTTCTTGTCTTGAAAGTACTTACCTCTCCCTGAACCACCACTCCAACTACAATCCACAGTAATGTTCCACTTACAACCTCCTACATTTCCCGTCTCCTTAGAAACCCTTGAGCAGCTCCTAGGAGCTCTGAACTTCCCCATTCTCTCACTCTCTTTTGGGAACATTGCCCACCCCACCTCTCCTTAAATATGACTATAATATTGTAACTGGATGAGCATGCAAGTTCTTAACCATTTAGAATGGGAACTAATGGATTGTCAGCTTTTGGATTGATCGTGTCATAATGGGATTTAAAAGTAGTAGTGGGTGGTGTATACTATTACAACAAGATTTGATAGCGGCATATATTTACCGCACATAGGTTATACGTATAGAATATAGTTCTTTCCCTTAAATTATGAAATCCTAAAAGGCGAGGAAGTATGGATCTAGGCTGATCACTGTAACCTTGTGAGAGATCGTCGGATGATACTAGCTCATATGTATGGGAGCTTAGGGTTTTAGAGAGTAGAGAAACATAGAGAGACAACAAGACATAGGGTGGTTTAGAGGCTTGAAATGAGTCCAAGTAAAAAAGCATGTGCTATGCAAGCCTGATGAGAGCACAAAAGCATCGAATGAGAAATAAAAATTTTCAACCTAAAAATATAAAAATTGAAAATAAAAAATAACAGAATAATCTCTCTATGGTATGTTAAGTAAATCAAACCTATGGTTTTTTGGAAGTGAGATACCACAATTTTATAATATTTAAAAATTTGTAATTGAGATACCCAAAGTTATTCAAGCCTTGTGAGTTATTCATAAACCTAACTCATATTTCTTTATATTACACATGACACCTAAAAATTCAAATATCACAAAACCTCTACAGTATTGTCTCAAAGGTCATCTACTATATGACAGCGGAGTTGAAAGTAACACAGCAGCAGAAGACCAATTAGGCATATCATAAGAGCTTTTGAACCTCAGCAACAGGTATATGCACTACATAGTTTACTACAATAAATCCATTTATATATTTTATTTTGTTACAAAAATAGATTACTTTTTAATGCTTATATCTAACATTCATCTATTCTTACACGGAAACACCGTTGATCATGTTCAACAAGAGAAAAATATGTGATTACAATCATATCTGATTTGATATTACAGAACAACAGAAGGTCAAGAGAAGCCAAGAGCACCAACTTGAATTTGACATTTGATTCATTGCCTTAGTTTGTTTGAACATAAACTTTTATTGAACCTCCATTTGAATGACAACTATTTTTTTTAAGGAAGACAATATTTTATAAATAAAAGTGCTTGCTTCTTTTTTACTCTTTGAATAATTTGTTATTCTTCTATTCTCATTAAATATCAATGTGCTCTCCCATTGTAAATCATGTGATTATTTACATGATCACTTATTGCATAAATGTATGCGTTGCATGTATACGAAATTATTTATATAACCACTTACTGCATATTTATACCCTCTCCATTGCACATTTACGTGATTAATAAAGGTGTATAAAATGAAGCTAATGATTTTTCAAACTAACGGTCTTATTGTACTACTAAGTGTTATTTTTTGAAACTTAATAAAATGGCAAAAGTTAATATAAGATTGCAACCTTATACTATAAAACTTAGGTGCACTACAAAAATCCGATAAAAGTAAGTGTTGTAAAGTTAGGAAACCTTCCAATTGATCATCTCAATCTCAAGAAGCATGGATATAAAGATGAAAAAATTCATAATATCTTTTTTCAAAACCTTAAAGTGTATATTGATCTGCTCAATCTGTCTTTTTTAAAAAAAATAAACTTCATAATTAGAGTTGAACATGAATTTTCAAATCATCGTAAGTTTTCCAACACTAGAGTAGTATAAGGTGGATAAATATGCAATAAGTGGTCATATAAACTGAGTACATCAGCGATGATAAATTGAACACGCACTGTAAAACGAAATGAAACGAGGAGCAGGTCATCATGCTTTACTTTAAATGGCAAAAATATCAATTAATGTTTCAAAAAATCAACAAAACTTGAAATACATAATATGAGAATGAGTAATGATCCTATAGGACCCTCCCCCCTACCCGTGTGCGTAGGACCTCAAAGGATCGCCATTAAAATTGGCACGGATCTCTAGAAAAGTTATCACATGGGTGTGGGACTTGATTTTTCTATAGATCCGTGTCAAATTTAATGGTGATCACTTGGGGTCCTACACACATGGGTGGGGGAGGGCCCTATAGGATCATTTCTCTATAAGAATATATGCCAATAAAAATTAAATTTGCAAGAGACAAGTCGTACCAAGCCAGTCCCTCCAAGTCCGTTACATTCATTAACCAAACAAGCATGAATCTTTCCTTGTTTCCATACATGTGCTCATATCAAAAAGAGAGAAGAAAGAAACCACGCATGAATCATATTTTACCTACCATTCAAAAAAAGTAAGAATAATTTAAAAAGCCAGAATAAGACAAATGGCTTCACCTTCTTTCAACCGGTTTATAAAGTACGACTGTCACATATTTGGATCGAAAGCGGTGGGTGAGACCAAGGGCGACAACTGAGCGTGGGGCGTCCTTGTTTTCGATGTAGAGATGGTTGAGAATCACATTGTGAGGCAACGGCAGAGCATTTGAGGCCTCCCTACCAGCAGTTGAAGGGAAGCTTAACAAAGTTTGATGAAGGTGGGGAGGGACAAGAGGTGGATCCCTCGCTCCATCCTCTTGCCCTAGGAGTACATTATTATAACTAGAGTCTGGGGATCCCGGAACCTCAAACCCAACCACATTAACTTCATCCTGAAGACCAAATTAGTCACAATGTGATCAAAAAACAAAGAAAGGAAAGAAAATACGAGCAATGGAAGCTTCGATTTCCACGTATAGAGAAAGAAGAGTACATCATAGTCAAATGGACTACGGTATAAGGTACTCCAAGGCTACTACACCCATTGTCTGTTCACACAAATGATCGGACTATCAGGAGACTGATCAGAAGGGCATTTATATTTCAGGGTTAGACTAGATGTTTTTATGTAGCATGGAGTAACATATACATACTTTATCAGACTATACTTTCCCCTTTAGGGTTAAGATGGCATATCAAGCTTGAGAATTTGTATGTGGATCCTATACTCTTAACCACTTAAATTTCAGAAGTAAAAAGAAATTAGACTACATACTAGTCCCAATAAGAAAAATCACTTTGTTTTTTGTTTTTTTTGTTTCTTTCTTTTCTCCATTTTTTTTGACAAGGTTACATAGGAATGGAACTTGAGGTCTTGCATACCAATAACTAAGCCCAGAGGTGAAACCCAAGTGCCTTGAGAAAATTATTATTCCCAATTTATATTACTGATTAAAACAGACAGCCAGTCAACCGAACTACAATAAGGATAAGTATGCACGTAAGTTGGGTTTTGAACCTTGGACTTTATGCCCAAAAATATAAAACAAAAAAAGATAGCCAAGATGCAATTGGTATACTGGTCACAAAAAAAAATAAATAAATTAACATCTCTAGACAAATTAGTTGGCCAAGTATATATATTATTGGGCTTGTGTTTTCGTTTCACTCACATGGCTTTCAGAGTGAAGAGTGTCCATGATGCTGCAGAGGGTCTCAATAAGCAAAATCATCAAAGGGCGACACCTTTTGGAAGGACAAGACTCTGATAGGATGCCCTTTATAAACCTGAAAGGATGAAAGATTCAATTGCTCAGAATGCATCATTATCTCAATATAATAAAAGAAGGCAGTCTATCACCAAAAATTTATATATACATTCTGACTATAGTATAACAACTACGAAGTATTTATACAAACGCAAATTTGAGTTTCTACTGCCAAACATCACAAGACGATGAAGCTGACAAGCCCATTTCCACAAGATTTGGGCTTCTACTATGAAGAATTCAACAATTTGCAAGTCCTCGCATCTGGCTTCTTCCAATGAAGCACATAACGGATACATCTTTTGCTTTAAATGATTTCATATTCAAACTCTAACTGGTGTTAAAACAGTAAAATTAAAATACAAAGAAATGATGGTTCTGTTATAAAAACTAAGTGACTGCTGCTGTCGCCGTTGCCGTTGACAGGCTGCCTAATGCACAAAATATCAGCAAGTTCTCAATAATTTGAAGAGAAACTTTATTATAATTTCTTGTGCATCTTAGGACATGCATGTTGATCCTAGTCACATGGCTCCAATTCACTTTTGTCATTTATTTAGCAAAGGAAAAATGGTATCAATCTGCTCCTAAAGCACAAGAATGTCTTCCAGCTTACATTAATGAATTGTGGTTTTCTAATTGATGAATTACCTCATAAGTTACCACAGTGGAATCAACTCAAATAAGTTGAGAGCCAACTGGCTGGTCAACTTAAACCATTCAATAGACATTTCAGAGTCATAATCACTGGATCTTCCATCCAAGATAGAATCTGGAACCCAGAATGCAGTTCAGTGGTTCAGAAGTGGAAACAGGTTGCCATTCTCTTGGGAACGTATTTCCCGTATTTTGATAAGCTTATTAAGGATGAGGCCTTATCTCCGTTAGGAGCACCATTTCGGACCTACAAAATGGATCACAAGGTAAGCGTCAGGTTTTAAATAAAGGAGAACATTTTCATTCACCAAATTTGAAAGAAAATGTTCGGCATCAATATCCCTACTTGGTCCAAGTCCATAACCACTTTCCATTAAAGCAAATACAAGCTCAAATACACCCTGGGAGTATTTGCATACCAATTGCAGATCCTCGCACATGATTTTGGAGAAGCTATGTAGCTCAGATTCCTTTGTTTGACAGCTGTACCAGTGTCAGACATATATAGACTTTCTGCTTATATGTAAAGGATTTACAATCCCTTGGTGAGATGTTTTTCATTTGACGAATAGCTGTACTCATTTATTGAAATCGATTGACAAGTATATGCCTTCCACAAAATTGAATTCAACGTAGGAACTAAATTCTGTATATCTAGATAACTCATTTCAAGAGAAGCTTTTAGTAGTCTTTTTTTGCAAGAGCATCAGCTACATCGTTTGCCGTCCCCCACAACTGCTCTTCAGTTCAAAAATTTGTGCAAACACAGTGCAGTCTCCATCCAATCGGTCTTGGCAGAAGTTAGTCATGTTTATTTTGAACACGATCCACACTTTGATGGGAACAAACCCATAACTCTTTTGTTAATCTATGGGCTATTATGCCATATTCTTGCTTGATAATTTCTTCATCTTGAAATGGAAAGATGGTAGAATTTCTAGAACATGTGCCACATTCCAATCTGGGGATTCTGTGAATGTATTCTTAATGTCATAAAATCAAATTCTAGAACTCATGTAGACACTCCACACCATGCCCTCACCTTCCTCTAGTACACCCTATTCTCACAGTTTTTGTCCACCCCCTGGCTTTGCTTTTTCCTCCTTTAAACCCAAAGTTTGGAATCTTAATTTATGGATATTGTCAATCCCTGAGGGTAATTGAACAACATTTATTAGGTCCGATCATAGCATCATGTTACAAATAACCATGACCTTTTTCCTTTCAGTTTCTTCTGAATATCATTACTATTTCACCACTCTCTTTGCCTTTATAAATTGCACAGGCAGGGAAGATATTCTAAGGTATCAAAATGATTCTCTGGTAGTTTACAGTTGACTAGGATTCAAGGAAATTATGAGATATATGGGAGTTATGGCCATTTTGAATCCTTTCACTTTTGATAACTTACGCAGATTATGCAGCTGTTAGGCAAGCAGATGAGGAAAAGATGCGGATGACAATTATACTTCAAATGTAGGGTTTGAAACAGATTATACATGTGATGAACTGTGATAGAGCAGGAACTTTCTATTTCAGGATTAAAAACATCTCAGATATCATTAGATTCAAGATATTAAGAAAATCAACTGACATGGTCATATAAATCCATTAAGAAATGATCATCATATAAGGTGACAACATCCATGTCAAGGAGAAAGTATGAGTACCTTAAGTATTCATGGACAAAGGATACTTGATCAGCATACACTCTGGGGTATACTGATGTAGTTAACTTCCAAAGCACACAACTTTCCACCGGGATGCCAGTTTGGATGATCCATAGCTAAAATCAAGGATCTCTTTGTGGCCCAGGACTCTTTATCTCTATTTGGTTTTATTTAGACATTTCAGACTGCAAATCATGGCGAAGCCCGATGGAAAAAACAGTGATGACTTTTATTTTCCCTAGTGTGCTACATGTCCTTTGCATTATTAAGTCCTAGAAACTGTAGGGCAGGGAACCCAGGCAGTCTTCTAGATATATCAATCTTCTAGAAGATCATGGGCTCCAGCGATTAGAACGTTGAGTGTCTTTAAGAGTTCAGAATGATCCCTTGTTCCTTTTCTGATTTGAAGTTAAGTTAGTTTCTTAATTTTGCGTGTCCAGAACGATTTTTATATGTCTTGTAATGGTCCAGGTTCCTCAAACTAAAGGAACTGGTTGTGCACCCATGCTGTAGACAGTTGTGGTGTATGGTTGTGGTCCATTTGTAGCCAAGCCATAGAAAGCGTGGGTGGGTGGTTGTGTGCTCATGTTGTAGACAGCATGGTTGGGAGGTGTTGCTTTACCAGGATGTCCATTATAGGTCAGAGTGACGAGCTTGAAAGAGGTTTTATCCCGATCAGTCACCGGCACCCACCTCTTAGGCATTCAAAAGTCCAGCACCCTGCAGGCCCGAGCTGATCTTTGAGCAAGGGAGGTGGGACTGAGACAGGGCCCCTGGAGAGGCCTTGTTCTCCCTATACTGGGAAACCACAGGCTGCATGTAGGCGAGATGCTGGAGATGGGCCTTTGGGCTGAACCTTGTCCTCCCCATACTGGGACCCCATATGCTGGAATGCAAAGCACCGGAGAATTGGATTCCAACCGACTAGGGGTGGGTATGGTGAGGAGATAGTGGCCCAGCGTTGGAGAGGGGGCTGCAAGGATGGCCATGAACCCTTGTGCACCATGGATGCACAATGCATAGTAGGCATATGGCCCACCCACGCTTGGGATATCATGGGTGGCTAGTGCGCTCAAACTGGGGACAACGTTGGTGGATGGTCCACTCATGCGGGGGACAGCGTGGGTGGCCCTCTGAACCTCAGTTTGGGCGAACCCAACTGAGCCCCAGTGAGCTTTGTTGAGGGAAATGATCATGGGTCAGGCCCAAAGAGAATTGGGGCATACCATGGTCATTAACAAGCAGCAAAGCACCAAAAATTAAACTCAAAAATGAATTAAAAGTGGATCAAAACCGTAAGGGCGGAGACGGCCCCAATGGAGTCGACAGTGATGATGAGCTTTTAAGACTGCACAGATGGGCTAGGCTGCTACAACCAGCTCTTAAGACAGCAAAGATAGGCTGCTACAAAGACAGCACAGATAGGCTAGGCTGCTACAACCAGCTTTTAAGACAGCACAGACCCTCCCTCACCCCCACCCCTCTCCAGCCCGATTCTAAGGCCATCAATTGTGGGCGCGACCCGGCCACACACCCCCAATGGACCACATGAAGAAGCAGCACAACCTCACATTCCCCTGGTGAAGCACATCTCTGGGCAAGGCACATGCTTGCTACCTTAGCCCCAAAATTGTGCGACACTCCCACACTGCCAAGACGGAACATTTCCCAAAGAGCCATATCAACTAAAGTGCAGCTCCATTCATTCCCCAGTGGAGTTGCCAAAAAGGATATTCGCATATCTCTCGTGTCCTTACCGGAGGTGCGTAGGTCTGCGCTTGCATGAATTTATTGATTCAAAGGGAGGTAACAACCATGGATACACATAAAAGAGAGACGAAAATCGTTCACTTAGTAAGGGGTGCATAAGCTTACAAGTGTGGGTCTATAAATTCCTAGGGTCGATGTAGCCAACCCTCAAAGACCACCTGGTGTATATACTATTGGGGGAGGCCCACCCACCCTAAAAGGTCTACTGCAAATCTGGTCAAGTATTCGACACCTTTTCCTCGTGGCGACTTTAGGCCCACCATGCTCATTTTAAGCAAGAAGGAGCGCAAGCAACTAAACGTAAAAACCCAAGTGATCCAAAATGGAGGGAGCCAATCCAATCCGAGTCAAACTCTGGCTACAATCTAATCTCCTACTTTGGTTCTCCCTATGCTTGTTTTTGAAATTTGGGATTTCCTAAGGGTAATTTGGGTAATTTGGATGCCCTAGAGTTTATCGGTATTTTTGTGAATTTTAGGTATTTTCTATTTCTTCAAGGTATTTTAGGTATTTTAGACTTTAGGGAGGGGTAATTTGAGTAGAAGAAAGTTTTCTCACTCTAGGTTGGAGAGGGTATGAGGTTTCTCTCTTTAGGGGGAGGTGCTAAGTAAATTTTCCAAGACCCATAAATGAAGCTTGAGTGGTTTTTTATAGACATGGGGAAATAGAGGTGGATTATTAAAAGTGGGTGAGTGGAAAATCAAAAGAACGTGTATCATCAAAACAACTTTCAGAATAGAAATTGGAATAACCATAAAGGACATCCAAACTTGCAAATTTTCAATACTTTGCCTTGCCCTTGAAAAGCTTCTCCTACCAACCACCACCAAAAACCTTCAAATTTGGTAGTTTTTCCACCATTTTCGAAAAAATATTTTCTAGAAAACCATAGAGCAAAGCACCACGATTATTTTGCAACAAATTTTGAGCTAACTTAAAGTTCAAAGGGCCCAATTTCCATTCAACCTTCCTCGCCCAAAGTAAATGGCAAGATATGACCAATTTAGGAAAAGTATAAACAAAAGACCATTTACTTTTTAGTACAAGGAAGTCACAAGCACTCTTGTCCGTCAGATTTCAAATTTGGTAGTTGTAAGTGAGCCATTGATTAGACTTAAAGTTCAAAAAAAAATTCTCAAATTTCGTGACACCCCACGTCATCCAATTTGATATCTGATGGCTAGAAGTGATTGTGAACTCCTAGTAACAATGGTAAATGGTCTCATAGTATACAATCCAGGCATTTGAAGTTTTAGGTTTCCAAGTATGGCAAAAATTTAATCTCATTTTCCAAGTCTTTTCATTACGCCCTTATTGGGATACCATTCAATGATCAACCACCAAATTTTTTAGGGAATCATAATACTATCATTTACGATTGTTGTTTCATCGAGTTGTGGCGATTTTTGTTTTTTCAAAAATAGAAATTCTACAGCCTCATTCTTAAATTAAAGATCCAACGGTCAGATTATGATTTCGAGCAAGTTTGACCTCTCACTTCTAAGCTATCCACTAAGCATTTTGCACATCCACTCGGCTCGGATTCCTTTTTGTTGATCGAGAGTTTCCTCCGATCATTTCAAGGAGATCTTCTAATTTTGATCTTGATCTGAGGCTGCTTTCATTGGCTATATCCAATTCCAATAATTCTTACGATATGATAGTGAATCATCGAAACTGGATATAGCCAATGAAAGTAGCCTCAAATCAAGCTCAAAATTGAAATATCCCCCAGAAATGATTAAAGGAAACCATCGGCCAAGGACGAAGAAGATTTTAGCCAACTGCATGCAAAAGATAGAGATCC